CATTTATTAATTTATTTATTTTTTACCATTCTTTAATATCTGATCCTGGGTATTCCAATTCAACCCTATGAAATGGATTCTCGTCATTTACCTCTAATAAAGGATCTTCTGGAAAAACTTTTTTTTTTAAATAATTATTAAAAGTTTAAAATGTATAGGAGAGCAGGAGGGAGAAATAGAAACAAAAATACATAAATATATCTAAACATATAAATATACATACAATTATGATAAAGTTTTGTTAATTGTAATACCACTTGCTCAGAATGAATGATTTGCAAGCTCTCCTCTTCGATATCAATTTTTTTTCTTTTTTGACCATTATTAAGGGTAGATTCCATAATAAACACATAAAAATATATATTAATATGTATTGTTGTTTTTAAACAATATAAAATTTTCTATACCAAATTAAATTTTTTGATGGTCGAACAAATAAGGAAAGGTGTATGACAGATCACGTGTAAAATTTTCAAAGCCCTAAATTTAGGACCATGTGGCAGTCACATCAGTTGATAATAATAATAAAAATTCGAATCGTGTAACAAACATCATTTATTATGTTGTTCAAAAAAAAAACAGCTTTTCAAAACTAGATTTTTATTTAACAAACTTGATTAGTGGTCGAGAAGATGTAAAATATCATAAACTGAGTGTTAGTATGTCTTTAATATTAAGGGATTAAAGTAAAGTTTAGAGAAAATTCCAAATGTGGTAAAATAAGGTGTGATGCATAAATCACATGATGTCCTTTAATAGTGAGGTTGAACCCGTATTTTTATAATATATAAATTAATTGACATTTCTCTCATTCATATAATAAAAAAGATGATTTGGGGAACTGCATCATTTATATTTTTTAATTCTTAATAATGAATTAAACAAAAAAAGTAAAAAAATATAATATGTACAGATTTAATATATGTGTGTGTGTGTGTAAAGTAACATTATTATGTGAAGGAATTCTGCTACTGTTTGCGCGGTCTAAAGATCCCTGTTGCTGCGCCATATGCTCAAAAATAGCGATTTCGTGATTCATTCAAAAAATTTTGAAGGTATTTCCAAAAATGGACTTTATGTGATTTTGGTGTAATAAAAATAAAAATAAATGAAAACATGCTATTCTCTCGATATATTAAATTCGTTATTAAATGTTGGATAGCTATGATAACAGTGTAAAATCAAAAACAAAAAAGTCATTAAAATAGATCGTCTTGCTAATTAACCATATTTTCCTTACTGCCAAATTTAGAAATGATTATTTCAAACTTATCCTAGCGCTCGAATTCCTCGTGAACATAGTAATAGTAATAGCAATAGTAAACAGCAGATAATCCAAGTGCACTTTCAATGAAACATTTAGCTGAATTTAAAGCTCGTGCAAAGTTAGTATCAATATTTATTTAATGGGATAAAAAAATCAATGTTATATTTACAATGAATATTTGAATGAATGATTTTATTTATTTATTATTAAAATCTTGTACATTAGTTATTATGGATTAGAATATGGAGATATTGTTATTAGAAAAGGGGACTTTTTAAATGACATGGACACCTTAAAAGATATAGAACAAGCAGACGTACTATTAGCAAACAATTTTATGTTTAGTCCAATGCTTAACCAACAACTATTAAATTTGTTCTTAAATTGCAAGAATGGTGCAAAAATCATCTCATTGAAAAGTTTTGTATCAAGCAATAAACGAATTAATGGTAGGACAGCCAACGCTGTTGAATCCATATTGACAAATGTTGAAGAGCATTATTATAAATCTGGGTCGGTTAGTTGGACTAACAATCAAGGCGTTTATTATGGTAAAGAGAAAAATTGTTTTAGAAGTGAAAATCAATTAATCAGTTATTGATTTTTACTTTTTGCTTTTTAAAAAATTTTTTTTAGTGGCAACGATAAGTAGAGAACCTTTAAAAATTTTTTGGGATAGTTTTTCAAATAATAATAATGGTAATGGTACAAGACGTTCTAGGAGACAACGTAATTAAATAAATATAAAAAACTTTTTCACTGAAACAATAATTAATCCCTTCTATTCAAAAATATGATATAGATGGATTTAAATATTTTATATACTATACAAATAAGAGAAAAAGAATTTTATTTTTACATAATAGATTTTTTTCCACGAACGTATATATAGATATATATATATATATATTTATAATATTTAATTTCTCCATTCATTATATATATGTATAAAGGTGTTATATTATATTATATTATATTATATTATAAATAATTAAATTTTGAACGACGCTTATTTTTTTTAGATTAAGAATAAAGATTTTTGGTAATTAATAATTTACCAATAATAATAATAATAATATTTAATGTAAATTCTTTTCCTTTGGGATAGAATCATATAATTTATATAATAATAATATGCCTAATCGATTATTTTGGTAATAAAGCGGTACCTTTAATCTCAATTAGTAATCTGGGCTATAAAACATGGGATATATCAACATTAGTTATTATAAATTACAACCCAATCAACAAGTTTTTTTATTTGAAAAACTTACCGAAGGTAATTTAAAAACAGCAACAGTTGTTCTAGAAGGTCCATTAATCTGATCAAAATATTGATTGTAAACTTCATTGAACCCATGATAATCTTGCATGTTCACTAGAAACACCGTCAAATCAATCAGGTTACTTAACGAAGCTCCACCCGCTTGATTCAATATCACTCCAATATTTTCAATGACGGCTTTAGTTTGTTTACGAATGTCCAATTCGAACGATCCATCCGGTAATTCAATCACCTTTTACCGAATAATATATTCATTAATCATGATGATAAAAAAGAAGATGATGATAAATTACACTAATACAATTTATGTTTATAGTAAACTTACACCATCATATCTTTTAAGTGTTGGTTAATTGATTAATTAGAAGTATAAATCTTATTCTTTTTCAGGAATAAAAAGAATCATGTATATAATTTTACTAGCTATAATACTAACGTGTTGTCAGGTTTACGTGAAGAAATTCCAGATATAAATATGAAGTCACCTGCAATTCTTGCATGTGGATAATTTGCTAAAGGTTGGGCTCTATCCGGAAGTATAATGGCTTTACCGTTAGGTGAAATTGATGATGACATGATTAGAAAAAAATGTTAGAAATATAGGTTACGCAAAATTTACCCCTATTACCATCAAAACTTTATCAGATAAAGAGAGAGTGCGATTTTCAATCAGAAAATTGTTATATTTATTGAAATGAATGACTTTTAATATCTACAAGTGTCGTTTATAATTAAAACTTTTAAATATAATCGTTAAAATGTCTTTTGTGTTGAATTTTGGTTTTAAATTGATAAACGAAAATGAATGCAAATTATGATGAATGCAATAAAATTATGAATACAAGAATGATGAAATTGTAATGCAATGAATGAATCTAAAGGATGTGTATGATTGGAATTATGTTTTAGGAAAAAAAAGTTTTTCTATTTGTGTATAAATTACAAACGAAAAAGATTATTATTGATTATTTTTCAAGTGTAATCCCAATTTTTTCAAATTCATTACCACTGTCACTGCCACCAGCTTCTTCAATATTATTATCACTTTGATTATCGTTATTAAAACTAACCCTATAAAGGCCTTGCCATAAACCACATCTTCTTCTTCCATTGTTCCGTGTATTATTCTCGTCGCCTTCATCCTCATCACCAACATTATTTAAACATGCTTGTTTCTCATACAATTCTTCTAACTCTGTAAATTTTTGTTCAGCCTTATTATATTTCAATTTTGTTTGTTTCAATTTCTCTAGATAATAACTATCCAGATAATAATCTTTTAATAGGTATTCCAATATTTGTAATCTATCTTCTAAACTCGCATTTTGCGGCCTGTCGTCAATCTCTTCACCTAATGGTATTCCGGCCGAACTAATGTAACGTTTTGCTAAATGTTTTTTGAAAGATCTGCGACATGGGTGGCAGCGAAAGATTGCTCTTTGGAATACTCCCCTAATATAACAATAAATATGTGTTGTTGGATTAGTAATCTTTAATTTTAATTTGAGGTTAATAATTTAAGATTAAGATAATTTTTACCAAGGTTGAATTTTAGACATTCCGAAACAAGATACATATAATGCGACGATTGCGCCATAGAAACCACCAAGATTTGAAATCATCGATCCGGCTAAAAATTAGTGATCACTTTATTAGAAATTAATTAAATTGATTAAATAGCAATAGTTGAAAAATAAATTCACCTTGGTATTCGTATTTTTCATTTTCAAATCGAAGAAACTGTGAAGGTAACAATACAAATTCGGCTAGGACATTATTCGATGCCGAGGAGGATAATGGTAGACTGATTGAATTTGTTTTAACTTCCAATGAAAGTCTGTTAGGTTTGGTGCTCCCTATTTGACCCAATAGAGTTGTTGAAAATCTTTTATGGATAATAGTATAATATTCTAGGATAGTTTTTTGATTTTTCAATATGGTATTTACATTATATTGTAAAGATGGTTCGTTGTCATCAAGTTCTGTTGTTAAGTTTTTTGTCAATCTATAAATAAGGTTGTTAACATTGAGTCTATCTATGTTCACGGAAAAAAATGGTGGAGCTGGCGCTGAATTTGACGAAGACGGCTTGATGTTAAATTTAAGGAAAGATTTGATTATTTTAGATGGATCATCTTGATTATATTCATAATTCATACTATCCTCTGGTCTGAACATCATACAATTGTTACGATCTTTTTTAAAACTCGACGAATTATAATTTTTAATTGATATTATATTACTGTTCTTGGCACTCTCGATATCACCATCCAAATATTCCGCGCCATAAGACTTGATAAACTTGCCTTCCACCGTAAAATCAAATAATTTTCGACCACCTGTATTAATTGTGTTGGAATCAACATCGCCCTCACTCACTCCAATATATCCTGGACATAATCTTAGCCCTATTTAATGTATATGTGCGTGTGACAGAATCAAAGAAAAAAGGTCAGTAATTAACAAATCGAGAAATCAATCAATCAAATAGTAAATATTTTACCTGTAATTATTTTAGGATCTCTTGACTCGGTTATTAAGATTTGTGGAGTATTAATAAAATCCATTAGATAGCTTACTTGGTAAGATGTATGAAATAAAATCACCATAATACAAATTATTGCTGATATTTTTCTCAAAAAACGAAACCACCAGGGCTCGATTCTTGAATTACCAAATATTGCATCATTTATAAACATTTGTGAAGATGTAAAAGGTTGATTTTATATATATATATATATATAAACGGTGCATACAAAGGAACAAATGAAATGATCGAGCGAGTGGACGAGTGAGTGAGGGTGAAAAAAGGAACGAGAAGAGTTTGTTAAAATCGATTTAACAAGATTTTTTTTTTTTTGGGATAAAAATCAAAAAAATAACCAAAAAAAAAAATATGAACCAACTTTTAGGTTTATTTATAACTAGTTTTTGTGTGGGAATAACTTTTTTACATGTTACGCGAAATTAACAAATTGATTCTTATCATTGGTTCCGCGCAAAAAGATCCAAACAAAAAAAAATATTTCTTTGTTTTAAAAAACAAACTTTTTACAAATTAGTAACGAATGTGAAGAAAAATAAATTATATACATCATATTAATAATATTAATATTAATATGACAAAAGTCGAATATGAGGGGTGTTCAGTGTTGAAATTTAGTTGTGTAACTAGTACAAATTTAGAAACTATCTCCAAAAATTAAAAATTTGATTGGTGTGTAATGTTACACCCGCATTCCCCGCATTGAATTTTCAACACTGGGGGTGTTTGAGTGCAAATTCCTTTTGATTGGCTAATTTAATCTTGGGTTGTAAGGACAAAAAACTTTAATTGGGCAAATGATCTGCATCAAGATATAAATGGGGTTTGTACTAGGAAAATCAAGCTTCGAGGTCCAAAACCAAAATGGATATTTTTGATGCAATTCAATCTATTACACAAGGATTATAAATGATTAAAGTTTCAGAGGGTGTTAACTTAATAAAACCTTGTACAATGGGGTTTTCTT